GTGATGGTGACAGATCAGGATGGCTGCGTCAGTCAAGAGGAAAACAAATAGCCCAGTTAAATAGTGGGCAAAGACCTGAACAAATATTTCCCAGAAAAACAACCAAGTGACCAACAGTATGTGGAAATGTGTTAAGCATCATTAATCATTGGCAAATAAAGATGAAAGCTGCAGTGGGTAAACAAATCACTCTCTAGTCCAGGCTTGGCAGACAAAAGAAAAATGAGGAGGAACCCAATAGAGGGATGCTTTTGGAAGCCCTTGTCAAGAAATTCCAATGGACTCTCATATGAACATATGAAATTTGCCCAGTCCTGGCTTTTTTCTAGTTCCCTGTCTAGAACTTGTAATTCTAATTACTCTTGCCTTTACTTCTCCTTCACATCTCCTATTCACAATTCAAGGACTTTCTTTTCCCCTTATAGACAAGTGTTATGCAATTTGGGAGTCCTTTAGATAGACCCACTGAAGGGGTACCCCAATTGCCTCACCCTGTGTCCCTGTTCAGCATGGAGGAAACCAGAGTGGTCTGCATCCTGATTCCCTATTGGTAATTTGAGTAACCCCTTCAGAGGATGGCGTAATAAGAGTTAGGAATTGTCTAGGCAGTTACTGTAAAAAGACCCCAAAGAAAAGTGGCCAGTTTCTTGGCTAAAAGTCAAAATGCCCTGAGCCAGACGGGTGGTGCATGCCTTTGATCCCAGCACTTGGGAGGCATAATTTGGGTAACCCCTTCAGAGGATGGCATGATAAGAATAGGAAGTAGGAATTGGCTAGGCATACAGGGTAAAAAGATCCCAAAGAAATGTAGCCAGTTTCTTGGCTAAAAGTCAAAATGTCCTTGGGCTTGTTAGCAACATACTCTGTTCCATGTTCCAAAAATGTTGAAACTATTTGGGAGCTTGTATCTAATCCTTAAAAGATTTTAGGGTTACCTCTTCAGAGGGGGGAATGTTAGAGTAGCCAAAAGGTCCAAAGAAAGAAAGAGTACAAGAAGTTGTCAAAAAAGTTATGGGGAGATATGGGAGGAGTTGGAGGGGAGGGAGTACATATGGATTTGATCAAAACATATTATATGCATGTGTCAAATTCTCAATAAATTTTTTTAAGTTGAAGAATGAGATGAGTTTAAAGCCTAAAAAAAAAAAAAACAGAGTGGAATGAAGATTACTCAGGATTGTGGACTGGTTTGGGGAATAGGGAGATGTTGCTTAGACAGTATAGAGAAATAGAAGGAATAAGGTCTGTAACTCTGTTGTACAACACAATGATATCATGTGCTTGAATGTCACTGAAACAGTAGATTTTAAATGTTCTAATCACAATGACAGGGAGGTGAGGCGTGGTGAGGATTGAGGATGGTAAGGTGATGGGAATGAGCAAAGGGTATGGTTTAGCACTTGTACCCTATATATACATACATACATACATACACACACGTGTGTGTGTGTGTGTGTGTGTGTGTGTGTGTGTACCAGAACAACAACCTGGATGGCACAATATATTTGCTTAAAAAATTAAAAATGAATGGGGATAGAAGGTGGCTTAGTAGGTAAAGGTGTCTGCTGTCAAGCTGAGGACCTCAATTCAATTCCCAAAACTCACATGGTAGGGGAGAATCAACACCCAAAACCTGTCTTCTGACCTCTACATACATGCCATGGCATTCATGCATCCCACACACAGTTAATAAATAAAATGTAATAAAAATTAAAATTAAATAAGTTCTGGTGAAGCACATATCTACTGAAATTATATCCTACATTTTGCCTTATATGTGAGGAATAAAATTCAATTTATACATCTGATATTATGGAGATCTGTACGCATAAAGAATCTGTGCTGCTCTTTCTTCTTTCTCCTTCCTTCTTCTTCTCCATCCCAGATAGGTTAGATGCCCTGCTAATGGTTCTTTGTGGGGAACAGGAGAACCAACTGGAGAAATCCCTACACACTTCATTTACACACAAGCTGGTGTTGGGGAGAAGACCTCAGCTTTAAAGCAAGGTTGGAGATTTGGTTGAAGTTTGTAATATGAGATGGTACTCTTTAAACTACCCAAGCTTGAGAAGCGAAATTATAGGAATGACCTGATTTTTTAAACCCAAGAAATGGAATGAGTTAATCACAGAGTAAATATTTATTTAAAGAAAAAAATAGAGCTGCCTCATGATCATATGTTTCACTTGCATTATTTGGGTTGAGGGTTTTCTAAGCACACATTGGTCTTTGCATTTCAAATCTTCAACTAAATATTCTTGTCTTCTCCATCCATAGACAGCGGGTTCATACTGATGTTCCTGCTGATCTGTGGGAGTATGACCCTGGACGCTTTTTGTTTGCATAAGTAGAGATTCATGTAATTAAAGGAAATAGCCTTGTGCTAGCAGTCCAGGTCTATTGAGTCCTCATTCAGAGATGTGATTCAGAAACGTGCTGCTCAGCCTCTATTATTAGTTGCATTGGGGTCAAATTCTTTGCCTTTATTACTCAGCTACCACACAAGTGGCAAAATCTCTTGTGAAAACCATCTGTAATTCCAGTTCCAGGGACTCTAACACCCTCTTCTGGTCTCTGGGGGCCTTGCATGCATATATGCACTTACATATATGTAGGCAAAATACTTCTACACATAAAAAATAAAAGTAGGGCCATGCTGAGCAGTTTGCACATTGTTCTTAGTTTCTCCCTGAGCTGGCCTAACATGGTGGTGGTGAAGACCTGAATCCCAAAGCTGAGGCGGCCCGGGCTCAGTACGTGCTGGCCATGAACATCATCATAGGGCCTAAAGGCACCATGAAGATGCTTGTTTCTGGTGCTGAAAACATCACTCTTACTAAGGATGGCAACATATTGCTTCACGAAATACAAATTCAATACCCAACAGCCTCTTTAATAGCAAAAGTGGCCACGGCCCAGGAATGACATAACTGCTGATGTATAACTTCCAATGTCCTTATCATTGAGGAGCTGCTGAAACAGGCGGACCGCTACATCGCTGAGGGTCTCCATCCCAGAATAATAACTGACGGCTTTGAAGCTGCAAAGGAAATGGCCCTCCAGTTTTTGGAACAAATTAAACAGAGAAATGGACAGAGAAACACTTACTGAAGTGGCCAGAATGTCTGTAGGATCTAAAGTTCAGGTTGAGCTTGCAGGTGTCTTAACAGAGGCTAGAGTGGACTCCATTTTGGCCATTAAGAAAAAAGATGAGTCCATTGACCTCTTCATGCTTGAAATCATGGAGATGAAGCCTAAGTCTGAAACTGATACAAGCTTAATCCGAGGGCTAGTTTTGGATCATGGAGCATGGCATCCTGATATGAAGAAAAAGTAGAAAACACATGCATTCTCACATGCAACATGTCCTTAGAATATGAGAAAACAGAAGAGAATTCTGAGATTTTTTTCAAGAGTGCAGAAGAGAAAGAAAAACTAGTAAAAACTGAACTAAAATTCATTGAAGATAGCGTTAAAAAATAATAGAATTAAAGAAGAAAGTCTGTGGTGATTCAGATAATGTTGTTTTTAATCAAAATGGAATTGATTCCTTTCCCTAGGATGCCCTTGAAAAAGAAAGCATAGTAGCTCTGTGCAGAGTAAAGAGGAGAACTATGGAGAAGCTGACTCTTGCTGTGGCACAGTAGCTCTGAATTCCTTTGATGACCTGAATCCTCACTGTCTGAGACGCGCAGGGCTTGTATATGAGTATACACTGGGAGAAGAGAAGTTCTTCTTCACTGAGAAATGCAACAATCCCCCTTCTTTCAAATTAGTGGTCAAAGGACCAAGTAATCACACACTGACTCAAATCAAGGATTCAATGAGAGATGGCTTGAGAGCTGTCAACAATGCTATTGATGATGGCTGTGTTGTCCCGGGTGCTGGTGCCATAGAAGTGGCCATGCAGCAGTCCTGATTAAATACAAGCCCAGTGTGAACGGCAGGGCTCAGCTTGGAGTCCAGGCATTTGCAGATGCCTGACTCATTATTCCCAAGGTTCTTGCACAGAATTCTGGTTTTGACCTTTAGGAACATTAGTTAGACAACTTTACAGAGTCGGCCTTATAGGGAATGTTTAATAGGCCTCACCCAGTCATTTTATTCTAGAATACATACATATATAGATATAGATATAGATATAGATATAGATATAGACAATATAGATATAGACAATATAGATATAGATATATAGATATAAAGATATGATTAGTTTGGGGCTCATGAAATACAAGTATCATATTTAATGAAAATAATGGCAAAAAATATTCTGGAAATTGGGACTCTATCTGCAGACCTGGGTGTCTTGATATGCTAGTGAGAAACATCAGGATGACCTTAAAGACCTCGAGAACCTGCCCCATGGCAATGTTGCTGCCCCTGCCCACGCCTACCCCATTTCTGTTCTGCAAATCTGCTACCATGCCTGACTTTACATGGCAGCGAAAGAGGCTAAGGAAATGGCACGAAGACAGCACATTTCCTGTAGGTGGGGTAGGGGCTCCTCTCTCCTCCTCCTAGCGTAGAACATCTGGCCAAGGGTGACTGTGAACCAGGTGAGGAAGGAATCAAGAGTTCTGGAGCTTATGCAACAGATTTCTGCAGTTGATGGTACAATCTGGAAATAGCTCAAGGTGTCAAAACGAATTCCTTCTCCTGCAGTTACCTTATACAAAATGATTTTATCTTTCTAGATTTTAAGTTCACCTAATCTCTTTTAAAATATTTCAACTCCCCCCTTATTTACTGGTACTAACTTATGATGACCATTTAATAAAAATGAATCATCTCTTAATATTTATATTTAATGATGACTTTGTAAATTCCACTATTCGACTTAAACTCACATTTCATGAGTATTTATCAATTTTGTCTAAAAACGTGAAAATTAGACGTGAGAGAAAGTGAGAACATCTCGATTTATAGCACTCTATTTTCACACATAGTGCTTCTGTGTTAATGAGCAGGCAAGAAATGCTTTTTCTTTTTCCCCCTTTCAGCTGTTTACCTCTGCAAGAGAACAATGCAAAACAAAGCAAGACTAGAGCTAGCAGATTATGAAGCTGTAAGTACCAAGGACGCTTATCCAAAGGTATAACATGAACCGAAATCAGGCCTGTGGTCATGCCTGTGCTCTCTGTAACCTTTCTACCTTTATAAATCTTAAGGACCAGGCTTCCTTGGATCCAGCATCCCAGTGGTTTAGTTAAGTCTCTCTTTTTTCTCATCCTCTTTTATGCACGTTAGGGACAGTGAAATTCTAAACACATAAACTCCATGTAGAAAAAGAAGCACATTTTATTCTTTTTAAAAAAATATTTTATTACTTTTATTTTCTGTGTATGCATGTATTGCCTGCAGGTTTGTAAGTGTACCCCTGTCGTGCAATGCCTGTGGAGGAGAGAAGAGACTGTCGGATCCCCCGGAACTGGAGTTACAGACAGTTGTTAGCTGCCATGTGGGTGCTGGGATTTGAACCCACGTATTCTGCAAGAACAATCAGTGTTCTTATCTGCTGAGCCATCTCTCCAGCCCCATGTTTTATTCTTTTAAACTAACTTGCCTGTAAAGATTTAAGATAAATTTTACAATAATAATCTCCAAAGTCTGAATATTGAAGAATGTTTATGAGGACAGGGCTTTGGCAAAGCCATAAGGTTGGTCACCACCAACAGATAAAGCAGTCTAGTATAATTTGTTCAAATGACTGCTGTGCTGTGATAACTGAATTCAGAGTACTGTGCAGAGGTGGGGACTGGGCTGCCAAGGGTTGATATTTACTGTCAGGCCCTCACCAAACTAGTTGGATCATGGATAGGAGGACAGAGAAAGATCCAATGACCTTGTCTTGAGCACTTTTCTCAAAGTGCTTTTTTTTTTTCCTGTTTCCTGTAAGATAATTAGTATTGGTTGATGACTGGGGCTGGGGCTTAGTTGGTAGAGTGCTCACCTAGCATGCATAAAGCCCTGGGTTCTAGCCCCAGCACCATATAAATTGAGCATTGAGGTGAATACCCATAATCCCAGTACTGGGGAGATATGCAGGAGAATGAGAAGGTCAAGGTCATCCTCAGTTGCACAGTGAGTTAGAGACCTATGTGAGTCTCTTAATCAGTTGAGTCTAGGAAGCACTATTGTTCAGAGCAAGGGTATCCTCAGTTCTTTAGAAACTCTGTGTTTGTTTTCTTCTCCAATATAATTGCTGAGGATGTGAGAAAAGAGCCCTGGAGGGTCTTCACCTGTGCTGTGTTTTTCAGGAGAGTCTTGCCAGGCTGCAGAGAGCATTTGCCCGGAAATGGGAGTTCATTTTCATGCAGGCAGAAGCACAAGCAAAGTGAGTCCTTGTTCATCTTTGGGTAGATGTATTCTTGCGGCCTTGTGGGCAGAAGCGGTGCCTTAACCCTGCTTCCTCTTCCTTCTTGATGTTGGCAGAGTGGACAAGAAGAGAGACAAAATCGAAAGGAAGATCCTGGATAGCCAGGAGAGAGCATTCTGGGATGTACACAGGCCAGTGGTGAGTGAACTCACAGCCAAGTTCCCACAAATTCCTATCTCAGGTTTGGCAAGCAAGAGGTCCCCTGGGTTCCCTCACTGAGTGCCCCATGGTGTCTAGGCGAATTAGTTAAGGGAAGATGGCCTCCTCTGCATAAAACGACCAGACTTTGATGGCGCATTCTTTAATGAAATGATGCAGGTTTCCCTTGTGTTGCTAGCCAACTCACGCTTGACATTTGAACTGTTGAATGCTTCTATAAACATTTGAAAGAAAAAAAAAAATACTGCAAACAGAGCAGAATTTTAGTGGCTTACTGTTTACTTTTTTGGCTGTATAGTGAAAGTTTAAATCGAAATGTTATTACTTCCCTTTATTTTCTGTTTTAGGACTTAATGGTGCCTATCGTGTCTTTCAAAGACTAGCATGTTGCATCAAATTCAAATCAGCTCATATTTTCTAAAACAATTGTTTTTGTGTCTATTTATTTTGTGAATGAAGGATGGGGCCCATGTAGAGGACAATTTCCTGGAGTCCTTTCTCTCCTACATTGTAGGCTCCAGGGCTCAAACTTAGGTTCTCAGGCTTGGTGTCAAGTGTGTTTATTCACTGAGCTATCTTGCCAGCCCATCATTTCATACTTTTAATGATGTCACATTGAATCTCTTAGGAACTTGGCTCTTTTGCTCTCTTATATCGTCAAATAGCATGCATCAATGTAACAAATACTGAGTGTTCTTAACAATACCCAAAAACTTTCTGGAAGGAACTTAACCAAGGTTATGAGCATCCAAGAGATAGCATGTCTATTCATGTATGGTACCACAGGCATGAAATCCTAAGACATGGGAGGTTGAGGCAGAATGATTCAAGGCCA